TCTTAGATTTCATGATCGCCTTCTACAAGCTCGAACCAAGATCATCAACAAATAACAATCTTTTCAAACAAACAAACAAAGCCCACCACCAAAAAAAGTCATACTTTTTTTTAAAAAGATTAATATATCTTTCCTTCCTTCCTTCCTTCCTTCCTTCCTTCCTTCCTTCCTTCCTTCCTTCTTTCCCTCCTTCTTTCCTTCCTCCCTGCCTCCCTCCCTTCTTTCCTTCTGCTCTTTCCTATTCTTCCTTCCTTCCTTCTTTTCTCTTTCCTTCCTTCTTTCCTTCCTTCCTTCCTCCCTCCCTCCTTTCCTTCTTCTCTCTCCAGTTGTTTCTTCCTTCCTTCCTTCCTTTCTTCCTTTTTTGTTCCAAAACTTGAAGTCTCTGTTTTAGTCTTAACAAGCATGAGCATTTTATACTGTATTAGCATACCTTCTTTAAATATTTTTTTAAAATAGGAAACATTAGTAAAACTGTTCACAACAATAAGAAAAGTTCTTCTAGTCTCACTTTTCTCAATTCAATATACTTTGATTCGTAAAGAAGGATAGTATAAAGCGTATTTTACCATTGCACAGTTGATGCACACAAAGAGAAATTCTAACTTCAATTAGAATAGAAAGAATTTCTAGCTTCAAACCAGGTGTCTGCATGATTGTAATTAACTTCTCCACCTTAAAGACAAACTTTGAAATAGATCTAATGAGAAAAAATGTGAGAATTTTACTAGGGCCTGATCTAACATGTATTTTAATTGATGAGATTCTCTTATTAACTTCTCCAAGCCATCACTCTTAGTGTACAGTTCAGCAATTCTTTCAATCACAAATAACGAACATGAACTACTTAAAATCATGTATATGATTTTTTGTATAACTGGCCCCACACATTGTAATTGTGGATAATCTTATGTGGATTCTTCTCATATCCAGAGGGCATACTGTAGGGTGTTACTGCTCATCCAACACTTTGCTCTTCAGTCAGTTTTGATTCAGACAGCCACTATCTTCCCTCATCTGATGGAGGTTTGGGTGCAGAGAGGGGTGGGGGTGGGGAGTTATTTATCTGTTTTTTAAATGTTGAGTTTATATATGTTGCCTATGTGCAGATTCTCTCCCTGACAAATAATGGAAAGAACCCATTCCACTTCTGCTAAAAGAAGACTGGATTACAACATACTTTTAGCATTTGTATGTGGCAAATATTTGATCATTTTTGATAACTTTGGTCTAGCTTCCAAGAACAGGAGAAAACAGAGATAGAAAGTCTCACTCAAGGTGTCAGCTATTAAGTTAGCTGCTGAGGCATGGTATGGTTCAGAAATAGTTTAGTGAGAGTTTAATATGATTTATCTCTATGAAATAATGTGGAGGAACAGATAGGTATGAAAAAGTTGCACTCAAACTTTGGTGTTTCTTTTGAAAATCTCCATTGGCCTGTACATATGTTCATGACAAATGCAGGGTCCAAATGAACCTGCATGTCACAAATTTAATTCTCCACCATCTTCTTACATACCTGTTGTAGTAGGTATAATGCACTATTCACAAATAAGTTATTTCCTAGCCAAATAGTAATAATTGCCTACTCAAGTGTCTCATCTGTAAAGACTATTTTCATGTTGCCTGGGTATGTACAGATTTATGTGTTAAAGAAAGGGTGTGTTTCTAACATGGATTTCTTTCTGGGTTTGTACAACACTTCTCAATACCTCAGGTGGCTGACACAACCACAAATCCTTTCTGGAGGCAATTTCCTGAGAATAGGAAGATTTGTGTAGTGGTATGTGTGAAAATTAGCTGACAGCAGAATTACGTCCTGGGGGAAAAAACTGACTCTATCCTTCCTAGTATAAAGAAGGTTTGTCATTTGGCAACCAGTTGGCTGAAGTAAATTATGTTCAGCAACAACACATGGCCTAGACTGAGAAAGAACTTTGGGGAATGTAAAGGACTTGTGTCAGTTAAAAATAATAATATTAATAAAAATGTTTTTACTTTAACACAGAGAAAACTACCTTGGAGAATGTGTGCTTGTGCACGTATTTATGCATTTGGAGTGGAAGAATTTGCTAATCAGGCTCTCCAAAAGTTGTTTGATTACCAACACAGGGATCATTTTTGAAAAAGAACAAAATTTCATTATATTTTTTTGTCTTCCATCTGTCACCTTTTCTTTAGCTACACTGCTGAAAATAACTGAGGTCCAGAGGGGCAGGAAAAGTCAAAAAAAATCAAAAAGGAACTTCTCAGATAATAAAGGAGGAAAAACAGACAGTAGAAATCGAAAAAAAAATATTACCTTTAGTTTGTTTTTTTTAATGCTTGCATTCCTTTTTCATCCAACCCAAACAGAAATCATCTAAATTATCATAATTTGCCACATTGTCACAGAGAGAACAGTCTGTTAAGGAGATATCAGCAAGAATAGCAAACGTTCCCTAAGCCAGGGTAACCAAAAAAGGCAGAGTGATGTGGACAAAAATGCTGTCATTTTTTAGGCAGAAAAATATAGAGCCTGAAGACATCAAGAAGTATTATCAGGAAACAAAGAAGCAAAAAAAAACCAAACAAAAAATAAAAGAAAAAGAAGAAAAAGGCAAAGAGGTCAAGTTGGGGAAGGGAAAGTTTCTGGGGAAACGGTAAGGTGCTGAAAAGGAGAAAGGAAGTTTTGTTGCTGTGTAAGTTTAAATGTCTAAATTTTGTATTCTTCAAGAAATATCTTTATGAAATGCCTTCTAGCTAGGTCTTTTAATCACATTCTTTTCAAAGGCCATTCCTCATTATACTGTTAGATTTAATTTTAATCCTACAGTTAAATTGTATGCATATGGAATATGTGAATAATAACTGTATTTTATTAAGATTACTGAGTGTAGCAGAAACCATATCAATCATGTAGATAAGGAAATGTCACAGCAGATGTCTTTTTTTTCTCTACACCATTGCTGAAAGTGCAGACACAGAATCACAGAATATCCCCCAATGACCATCAACTCCAACTCCTGGTCCTGCTCAGGACCAACCCCAGGGAGTCACACCATGTACCTGAGAGCATTGTCCAAACTCTTCTAGAACTCTGTCAGGCTTGGTGCTGTGACCACTTCCCTGGGGAGCCTGTTCCAGTACCCAACCACCCTCTGGATGAAGAACTTCTTTCTAACCTAAACTTCCCCAACACAATTTCAGGCCATTCTTTTGGATCCTATCACTGATCATCACAGAGATCCATGTCTGTCCTTCTTCCCTTCATAAGGAAGTTCTAGACTGCAGTAATGTCTCCCCTCTGTCTCCTCTTCTCCAGGCTGAACAGACAAAGTGCCCTCAGCCACTCCTCATACGGCTTCCTTGACCAGTACTCCCAGGTCCCCTTCCACAGGGCTACTTCAGTGTCTCATTCCCCAATCTGTCCATACGTAAAGGGTTTCCCTGTCCCAGATGCAGAATCCAGCACTTTCTCTTGTTGATTTTCATATTATTGGTGATTGTCCAATCCTCTAATTCGTCGAGGCCCTTCTGCCTTCAAGGGAGTCAACAGCTCTTCCCAATTTAGTGTCATCAGGAAACTTAACTTAGTATACCTTTAAGTCCTGCATCCAAAACATCTTAATTAAGACAATATCCTCTTTCTTAAGAGAACAGGAAAGCCAGGCTTAGAGTCACCTCAGATCATTTATCTGCCACTTTCTTGTAAGTCAAGGCCAATTTCTTCCCTCTATCCCTGTTCGATAACACTTTACCTGATGAAGACCCAATTATGTCCTGATGCTTCTTTGTTCACAGTATCTGACTTTAATTTTTTTGCCTTCATTTTATGCCCACCCTGGTAATGTTCCTATGACTGTTCCCTTGGAATCATAGAATCAGCTGGGTTAGAAAGGACCTCTGAGGTCATCAAGTCCAACCCTTGATCCAACACCGCTGCAGTTACTAGACCATGGCACTAAGTGCCACATCCAGTCTCATCTTAAAAACCTCCAGGGACAGAGAATCCACCACCTCCCTGGGCAGCTGATATGGTTTGAAGCTGGCTCCCTGCCAAGTCTCCAAACCTTACCACCAGAAGCCCCCCCCCCTCCAACCTCAGGGAGAAGAGGGAGAAAAAAAACTAAGAAAAACCCGAAACAAGAGAGAGACAACCAAAGTGAGATATATAAATATATTTACACTTATATACAATTTCACAAGGGAAAGGGAAGGGGGAAGGGAAAGGGAACAAAACTAAAATAAAATATATAGATATCCCAAGACCCAATATCTAACAACTAAAAAAGTTAGCAAAGAAAAATAGCTCACTACTCCCCTGGGACAACCGAGAGTCGCTCTGGAACGATCGCCGGCAACCTCTGTCTCCCAAGGTCGACAAGGCCTAACCAGGCCTCGCTCCCCAACACGGCAGACTCAACAGCAGGGAACCTGCACCTCCAAGCCGCCGGAAGGAAAGAGAGCGAAGGCCTCTCCTCCTTTCTTCTTATAGTTTGGCTTACGTAAAAATCGTAGGGAATACTGGGTAAATCTGGACCCTTCCTTGGTTACAAACTGGTCACCAAGGAAGGCCTAGCCCAAACCACCACAGCAGCTCATTCCAATGCCTGATTATCCTCTCTGTAAAGAATTTCTTCCTAATATCCAACCTAAACCTCCCCTGACAGAGCTTAAGACCACGCCCTCTTGTCCTACTGCTGGTTGCCTGGGAGAAGAGACCAACCCCCACCTGGCTACAACCTCCTGTCAAGGAGTTGTAGAGAGTGATGAGGTCTCCCCTGAGCCTCCTCTTCTCCAGGCTAAACAACCCCAGCTCCCTCAGCCTCTCCTCATAGGACTTGTGTTTGAGTCCCTTCACCAGCCTTGTTGCTCTTCTGTGGACCTGCTCCAGCCCCTCAATGTCCTTCCTGAACTGGACACAACACTCGAGGTGTGGCCTCACCAGTGCTGAGCATAGGAGAAGAATCACTTCCCTAGTCCTGTTGGCCACACTGTTCCTGATCCAGGCCAGGATGCCATTGGCCTTCTTGGTCACCTGGGCACACTGCTGTCTCATGTTCAGCTTGTAACTCCACTTTTTTTTCCTCTAGGAAAAAAAAAACAAACAATTTGTTCACTGTCTTTCTATCAGTCGTGTTTTCTAGAACTCTACTGGTTTGTTAGACTGCTCTCGACTCTTTGACACTTTAAGTGCAGTGGCTCTGATGAGACTTCTGTAATAATGCAGTTATTACGAGACCTCATTTTTTTGTTTATGCCTTCTAAGAGGAAGATTTTTAAAAACAATGTTCTGCCTGTCATTTACTGAAACTCTTCAGGTCATTTTCTGCATAACTGCAAGTTTTCTTCCATCCAAAATTTAATTTACTTTTTTTATATTGAAATTCATGCTAATTTCACAACAGTTTCTGGTGAACCTTCCTGTAATACAGCTGTCCCTTCTTGAAGTCACTGACTGGCAACTGCAGTTTGAAATAGACATCTAATCTAACTGTATAGATGATGCTTCCCAGCACTCTTACATAAATGTCATGTGCAACTGGTCTGGAGATGAAGGAAATCTCCATTTTGTGATATACACAGGATGTGCTTTACTCTTACTTTGAAATTTTTTGTTTCTTTTTTTCTCTGTCTAATGCAGCTCCCCTCACACAAAGGGATTTCCAGCTTTGCTTTCTATTTCTGCAAAGTTTTGAATGGCTTAAGAATTTGTATTATTGGGAGAGCTCTCAACAAAATATCAAACAATCCACCTCATATCAACAACAAATATTCTCACATGTAACAAAACCTCACACACTTCTCCCCTCCACATCTTACAGGTCATATGGACCTTGAATTTCTTCCAGTTCTTTTTTGGACACCTCAGCTGCTCTATCACAAATGTTCCAAATCCTGCTACATTGCATTCATGCCATATTCCTGTACAATCTCAGCTGTAGCCATGGAATACTCCTTTTTTGATAGCGAATACCATTTGTGGAAGGACCTAGTGCATTTCAGTGCATGCATGTTTTTTTGTTATCTATTTTTTCCAATTACAAAAAAGATACTTCCATTTAACCTTCTTTACCTGATTAAGTTTCCTTTAACCTCCATAAAGCAGACTGCCTGTAGTTGATAAGAAAACTCTCTAGAACAAAGACTAGGAAATAAGCACAAATGATGAGAGGTTGTCCTAGCCCTCCTCACAACATTTTAAGAGAAAACAAAAATACAAGAAAACATTTTTCCAATTTGTGATTTGCAGTTGATAAAAAGAAAATGGTAGTCATTCTCATTTCCTCCTTCTGGAAAAGCAATGCATAAATAATCTATTAACGTGCAAGGGCCAAAGGGTTAAGTTGCTCAGATGCTGCCATTGATTTCTTCCCTTTTCCCATGTGCTTACTTCTTCTCACTTGACTGGCACTAAGTAGCACTTCTTTGAAGCTATGCTATAAAAGTTTGTTCCCCTGAGAATCTCTTGGAGCCTCTGCTGTTGAAACAATAATTACAAGGAGGTGAAGTATTTGACTAATAAGCAGCAGGAGTCTGTAGGGGTCCAAAGCTGAATGACAAATGCCAATACTCACTTAAGGTTTGTTGGATCAACAAGCCAATATGGTGAAACCAATCCATCATCTTGTCACCAATTTTCCTTGCAGTCTCAGAAGCCTGCCAATTAAAAAAAAAAATCTTGTAATTACTATACATCACTCAGCAGTGATTGCAGGCACATGATAAACAGGATCTTTTGCTTTCCCTCTTCAGAATCTGATGTTGTGCGTTTTTATTTACACATTTTCTGAGGCTTCTGTGGATTCCAAACTAAACTTGGAGAGAAAAAAAATGTACCATAAATATACATCATTTGGATTTTAATTAACATTCATTAAAGAAAGTTAAACTTCATGGCCAATTTAGAGAAGCAGCAGGCAAAATTTGGAGTACCAAACAGTGGGTTATTTCACTTGTTACTTTCACTGACAGTGTGAAAGTTTCACTGACTCAGTGTTATGAATGCAGTCTCCACACAGAACACAGATGAAAGCAAAACTGGACTTTTGGTAGGTCTGCCATTCCAGTATAATGTTCTAGCTCCAAACCCAGCAACAGAACACCAGCACCTACATGCCTGGAGTATAAATATAAATAATAAAATAGCCAGACCCAGTGCTTGCTCCTACTTTTTACTTTAAACCCCTTCTGCTGGATTTGTTCCTCGAGTCTGAAAGGCTAGATTTTAGCAACAAAAATGTTACAGAAAAAAGATTTTTCTATTTAGTAGTGCAATACTTCTTTTCTTCCAGAAGCTATTAGATAGCATTAGTATAGGGCAGGAAGCAAAAACAAGATGTGGTACGTGTGATTGCTTCCAACTAAGCAGCACCTGCTTTATAATATTGAGCCTCAGATGAAGAAGTATTTTAAAAAAAGCAAAAAGTCAAGTATTTGCAAAGAGAATATGAGAAGATGGAAATCTGCTCAGTGATACTTTGCATCCAGAAAGAAGTGAAATACAGTTAACACTCACCAATTAATCATTACTAATTGTGAACTAATTGTTTTATAGCATCCTCAGCTGAGTTCTGTCATTCTGTAGCCTAATGTATTAAGAGATTAGTTTCAGCCTCTTTTATTAAAGTGTAGTGTTGCCTCTCTGTATAAGACTCGAATAACATAACTCTAAAATGCAGTTCAAAAGTATGAAAGGGAGATGAAAATTTGGAGGCTGAATTTTTCACAAATGAAAATGCCATTATAAAACTGATTTTCCAAATAATTTCTTCCATGAATATCCCATACTTTTGTGCAATGACAGGTGGTGTATGCTTTTAAAACCCATTCCTGAAGGAGTGGAGTCACTAGTGCAATCATGTATAATTCTGATGATGATTTGGCATCCTTCATGATCTATTGAATTAAAATAGCTAAGTAAGTAGAAATTATTAATTTATTTATATATTTACATTCTGGCTGAATGGCAAGTTTTAATTTAAGAATTACATTCCTGTGGCCAGCAGGAATACAAAACTGTGATCTGAATTCTACGTATTGTTTTTTTGTCTTTTATCTGATGAACATGAAATTATCAAGACAGCATAAAAGATTTCCTGATCTCTTTCAAAAATCTGAGAACCACAACAATAAGAAGGCTTTACTTTTAAATATATTTTAATACATACGTACATTTAATTATCCCCAGACCAAGCAAAATACAATGAGGAAACAGCAGCTTTAGAAAGTAAGAAATCCTCCATTCTGAACTCCAGATAGTGCTGTCATTGCTGCAAAGTTGTTCACAGTTGGATACTGGAAACACTCCATTGTTTTCTGAACCTCTGCTTAAAAATTTCCAAAGGCAAACAAACACGATATTGCTACTACTATATATTTTAACTTGTTTCACAAGGAACTATTGAATCGGATCACAGTGTGACTGGATGTGGCATTTAGTGCCATGGTGTAGTGACCACGGTGGTAGTGGATCAAGGGTTGGACTTGATGGTCTCAGACATCCTTTCCAACCCAGCTGATTCTATGATTCTATGAATGAACACATGGAACAAATAAACATATTTATAACTAATCTACACTAATATTTTGTCCCTACTACAGTTACATAGCTTTACGGATTTCAAATCCAAGCTTAGGTACAAGATTCCAAACTTTTCTTAGTGGATTTAACCCTGCAGTTCAATTCTACAACACCTTCCCCTCAATAATTTTCTCAATTAATAATAAATAAGTACCTTAAAATTGTATGCTCCTGCTGGTGTTCCCAAGTGTCATATTGTTATTACAGAACTAGCAGAATGGTTCTAAGGAATATAGTTTGTTATGTTGTTGTTGTTTGGTGGTTTTTTAACCTAATTTTTGAT